TATCATGTTACAAAACCTTCCATGGATAAAAAGATCACCCAGAGTACAAAATAGGCCATCCAGTTCAGATGTAATCTATTCTTATTGTGGTTATTCTATAGACAGGATTTCAGATCTCACCTCTAAGAAAATTACTCTAGTCAGGTGTGGTGGCTCATGCCTGCAATCTCAGAGGCCAAAACAGGAAGACTGTGATTTCAAGGCTAGCCTAAAGTGGGTAGTGAGACCCTGTCTTAAAAAAAAAAAACAAACCAACAAATTACCCCATGCACATCCCAGAAAACTGCCCTGCCCCCATTATTTGAAAAAGCTGTTTAAACACCCCTCTTCTGCAGGTATGTGCCTGAGTTTTCTCCATAGAGTGCAAGCCTGGCAGCGTGCAGTAGGTGGAGTGTGAAAGTACACTGAACCAGCTTGCTCCGGGTCAGACATGCAGGGGGCTTACAAGGATATAAAAAAGACCCTTGTTGGTTCTGTGTTTTTCAGAAAATATTTTCCCTTTAAAGTGCTATTTATATTCACATACAGTAATTTCATTTTAAGTAAATTAATCAGTGAATGCTTTTAAACTTTTCAGTACCTTGTTTTTTGTTTTGTTTTGAGATATTATCAGGTAGTCTAGGCTGGTCCAGAACTTCTGCCTCCCTCCCAAGTATTCTACTTACAGGTTTGTAGAATCAAGTTACTCAATTTCTAATATAGTAAATACCATAAACCACAACTTGCCCAAATAAAAGCTTAACTTAGGAGTCCTCAGTTTTAGGAGTGTAAATGGTCTTCAGAGTTGGAATAGGAAGGAAAGGACTGGGTTTGTTGATGGACAAGAATGCTTTCATTGTACTGCAGCAAGACGGATGCTTGAGACACGTGATTCAGTAGTGTGCTCTCTGTGTCTGGGCTTGGCAGACCTTTTTAGTGTCATTACACACACTCACTGGTAAAAGCAGCCTGAGATAGATTTTAACTGCCCGAGTTACTGAAGTTCAGCATGGTTCTGATGTTCTTAGGACACACAGCAACCTCTAGGATATTAGAGGACTTCTTGGCTTGTCCATTAAAGTAAAGGCCTGGTGGAATATAGTTAGAGAGAATCCGTGCTTTTTATGCCAACCCTCAGATGTTTTAGCTCAGCACCTGACAAGCATCACAACATCACTGGCCAAGTTTTCCTGTCTGAGTGAAGTATAGTAGACCAGCCTGATTTTAGCATGTTTTAAATGTATGTATTTAGTTTATTGTTGCATTTCATATGAATTTGTTTATTTCAGAAAACAGCATAGTTCTCTCTTTAGTGCACACTCACAGTCTTTGGAACAGACTCAAGGGCCTGCGATAACAACACATTTCTGGAAATGCTCTGACAGTCTTGAGATGGAGGGCAGGAAGATGTTGTGGAGTAAGGTAGCTGGGCATAATTTCCTAGAATTCCCCAAACACCCACCCATTTTCTTGACAGAGCTACTTACCTTTCCCCTGTCATTCTGTCAGCCTGTTTGAGTCATTATTACCTTTTAAATAATGACAGTATGGTTCAAAAAAAACAAGAATACAAAAGCCAAGTCATTGCTGTAAACCACCATCCAAAAGCAAGTTTTGAGGAGAGCTCTTTGCTATATCTCTAGTCAGGGAACAGAACAATTTGAAATTGCTTTTCAAAATGCCTTCTACAAAAGCCATACAAGCAGTTGTCTAACTTCATTTTCAACCAAATTTTCAATTGCAACTATATCAGAAATTCAGTGCAAATGGAAGTCATACTAGCATAGCAGTTTTCAACCATGGTGACCTTGGCAGAGCTTGAGGAAATGGGAACTTGAGTCCATTCCTGGTGTGAGTGTAAAGTGGTGTATTGTCTCTAGAGGCAGTTTGGTAAGGTCTGTCACATTGCAAAGGCGTTTCCTTTCCCTACTCTACTCTTAGGAACTTTGCACAGTCTAACAACTTTGCAACCTGGGTACAGCTCTCAGGTCTTTAATACAGAATAGTTTGCTCTAGCAGAATTTGTATGATTTTACTTGTTTTTGTTTTATGTGCATGCGGGTTTTGTATGTATGTGTACCACATGTGTGCCAGCTGCCCACAGAGGTCAGAAGATGTGGGATCCCCTGGACCTGCTGCCACCCTTTGGGTGCTAGGAACCCAATCCAGACCCTCTGGAAGAGCATCAAGTTCTCTAAAGTGCTGAGCTAACGCTCTGTCAGCTGGAGTGGAATTTTAAGCAATTCCACTTTTTGTCCATAAGGGATGGGGGTGGGGGAAACATCCAGGATTGGAGACTGTTCTTTCAAGGGACCTGAGTTTGGGCTCCATCACCAGTTTACCAGCTGAGCTGTCTTGCCAACCCTCATACTTTTAATTATAATCAAATTGCTGCCCATCTCAGCCTTTGCCTTGGGTTTTGCCAGAGTAGGTGGGGTGTATTTCAGCAGAGTGCTTGCCTGTTGTGTGCAGCGTCCTGGGTTTATCCCCAACAAGAAAGAAGAGAGAATTAGCAATAACAAAAATAGACTTTTTCTTTTGTAATTTTATTATGTGAGTCTATGTATCTGAGCGGTAAGAGGACAACTTGTAAGAGTAGGTTCTCTCCTTCCACCTTGGGGACATGGGGATTGAATTCGGATTATCAGGCTTGGCTGCATATACCTTTGCTCACCAAGTCGTCTTCTCAGCCATGACTCTAAAACAAAGCAAAAAAAAATTATTGAAAATTTCAAATATATGCAAAAGTGGAAGACTAATAAAATTCTCTATACTCTAACTTAACTGTTTCCCCTAGTTTTTGTTGTTGTTATGGTTTTGGTTTTGGTCTGTCTTTTTTTTTTCTTGGAGCATTTTATATTTAAAAATGGATACTTTACTTATCAAAGGATAGATTTAGGTCCAACTTCTCATTTAATCTCATGACAGTTCAGGTAAGCAGGAGGTCTACATGAGGAATTCCAGGGCAGCCAGTGATGCATAGACATTCTCTCAAAAACAAATACCTTTGAGACATTTTCTAGCCCAAGCTGACATTGAATTCTCTAGGTAACTAAAGATGACTTTAAACTTCTGGCCTTCCTGCCTCCCTCCCAAGTGCTGGGATTACAGGCGTGAGTCACCACCTCTGGTTTAAATAGGTGTTTTCAAAAGCAAGACCAAAAAAAAAAAAAGGTTTTTTTGATTGGTTAAAGTAGAAAGTCCCAGTTAGACATTACATTAGTTGGCAGCTTCTGATTGGGTCATAGCTATCAGGGTTTGATTTCCTTAAGGTTGGAGCCATCTGAGTCTTGTGAATTTCTGACTAAATTGTGTTTGTTTTAATACTCCCATAAGTACTTGATAGATATCTGTGTGGCTACTGCTCAGAAACTGATTGTGAGGCTGGCTGGATAGCTCAGCAGGTAAAGAAAGGCACTGGCTGCTGATAAAGGAACAACCAGAGTTTTGATCCCCAGAAGGGAAAAGTTGAACCCTGAGAATCTCACATACATGTGTGTACAAGTACACACAAAAGTAAGTAAATAAATAAATGTGATGATAATTTCTAAAGACAGACTGACTATGGACCCCAATCAGACTTCACTTTGTAGCCAAGGATGGTCCTGGGCTCCTGGTCCTCAAACTTCCACATCTGAAGTGATGCTGGGATTGCAGGTGTGTACCACCTTCTAAAGATCAGAGGTTGTGTATCCTTTCCCTCTTCACTAGTAAATACAGTCAGCACACAGAAAGGGTGGAGTGTCTCCCATCTCTGTAACACACACACACACACACACACACACACACACACACACACACACACACACACACACACACACACACACAGTGTCTTACCTTTTTTTTTTTTTAACTTGAAGTTCCTGTTTTGATACTGATCACTCCCACAGTTACCACCCCCAACTTAGAGGAGGTCAGCCTGCTACCCACACATGCAGTGTGTCTATCTGTCTCCTCTGCTGATAATTACATTCACTTAGGTTAAGAGGAGAGCGGGAGGGAGGGAGAGCACACGACGCGAGAGAGCGCTCACTCCTTTTCATCCATTTAGAAAAGGCATTGAGGCAAGGATCAAGAGCCCAAGGGACTGTTTATTTTCATGTCCCCTCGCTCTCAGAAGACCATTGAATATTGCCAGAATTAGTAATTCCTGTGCTGGGGATGCCTTCGGATGGTAGAGCACTTGATTTCAAATGCTCGCCATGTACTGAGTTCAGTCTCCAACACAAGAGAATCTTTACCTGGTGGTGCACACCCTTAGTCCCAGCACTCAGGAGGCAGAGGCAGGAGGATCTCTGTGAGTTTGAGACCAGCCTGGTCTTACAATAGTGGGTTCTAGGACAGTCAGGGCTTCATAGAGAGACTCTTTTTGCTGATACTTGTTTACCCAGGAGTAGGTAGTGTGAGTGGGGAGTTCCTGGAGCTGCCTGAAAACAAGATTTTTGAGTAGTTGAGCATGAGAGCTAAGGTATTGGCAGACGGAGGGTGTGGAATTGCAGGAATGCCATGTATCCACGTCCTAAGAGAAACAGCCATCAAAAGGGTGTCAGTTTCCTTAGGTGATCGGGTATAAAGTACAAAATAGTAACTAGTTTTAGACCCTCTGTACCACACCCAGATGGCAATAATCAGACCTCAGGAAATGAGGAAAGGAATCGAGGAGAAATGTGGTCTTTACTTCGTCATTAACTCAAACCAACAAAGGATTATTGGTTATTCATTGTAAACTTATAAAAGTTTAAGCATGTTTTCTCATTGGAATAGGTTCAGTTGGTGGTGGATGTTGCAAACGTATTTTATAATCATACGAAGGTGAGGTTTTTACATCATTATCTTTTAATATCCTAGGAATGTTAGCTAACAACACTGAAGCTGTCAGTGTATCCCATGTGGTAAGCTAACATGGCTCATCTTAGTGATGCTGGTAATGCTGACTTACATCTCACTTCTTAAAGACAGGACTGAGAGCTCCTTGAGCACCTGATGCATGTGAGTTAATGTTTGTCCTCTTATTTCTCTAGGGCCTATTCCTTGGTGGATTCCAGTCAAGTGTCGACATTTCTGATATCCATTCTTCTTATAGTCTATGGTAGTTTCAGGTAAGACATTCCCCATGGGGTTATATTTAGTTGCAGTTAAAGGAAACATTGCTCTGTGGAGAGAAATAGGTTTTGTGAAGACTTGAGGTCCAATGGGTAATTCTAATATTGGTTCTTTGGTTGGCTGCTATTAAACAGTCATGTTAAACATGTCTTGTTTTTGCTTATGAATTTAGCACATTAATGCAAATATGTAAAAACTTAAAACTGGATCTGCGGGTGGTGACTCACTACAGAGCACAGCTTATTGGGAAGACTACGAGGAGAGCTGACCCTGATTCTGCTGTCACAGGAATCAGAATTTAGATAGACAATTCAAAATACAAAAAAAATCACATGCTACAAAATGAATGATAGATAGGAAGTGTTAGGGGTTTTTTTCTCTTAACTCCAAATCAAAGTATAGTGGAGGGCCTTTGATAGACAGAGAAGGAGTGAGTACACTACAATACAGCTGTGTTCAGGGAGCTAGTAAAGCCCCCTCTTATCCAGAAGAGCTGTCTCATGACTAGCACACTTACAAAAATTACATTTTCCTTACTGCAAAAGCATGGGCTTGGGTTGATCCCTACAATTCTAATAATAGACTTTTTTTTTTGCCTTCAGAAACCATTTATGTAACTCACTCACCCTGTTACCAGAGTTGAGTATGGTGACATTACCAAGTCTTCTCCCTGTTGCCTTTGGGAATGCTGAGACTGGATCCTGAGGACTACATACCCATCCTAGCACTCAGCCGTATAACTAGGAAGAAAACATAAAGAAGCCAGACAGATGCCCCCTTCTCAGACAGTCTGCCATTGAAGGAACTATAGTGGGTGTGTGATTCAGATCATTGTGTGTCTGACACAACTGAAAATGAAGGCTGTGGGCTGCAGAGATGGCTCAGCAGCTAAGAGCACTCCCTGCTCTCCCACGTAACCAATCTAAGGGATCCAGCACCTTCCCTGGCCTCTGAGGGCACCAGCACGTGTATGGCTTCCCTCACAAAGACACAGCACACACAGTCACACAGAACAGAAAAATGAAAGTAAAGACTGCTTGGGAAGTTTTTAAGTTAAGAACTTGAAGTAGTGTGAGTGATAAATATGTCAGCAAAAGGATTTTGAGCTATCTAATACATCTGGATTTTGATAAGTACTTTGTAAAATCATAGACTTGCAGTCCTTTATTACAGTCATTGTAGAAGAAAGATGTATTACTATAATATACACACCGAATACAGTTTTAATCACAAAGATGTCTAAGAGGTTCTTTTGCTGGGTGGTTCGCTTTTTTGTTTGGTGTTGGTGGTATTGTTTTGTCAACACGGGCAAGAATCCTCTGGGAAGGAGGAACCTCTTAAACTACGGCTCCATCAGATTATTCTGTAGGAAGTCTGTGGGGGCATATTCCTGATTAATGATTGATGTGGGATGGTCCAGCCTTCCAGGTAGTGCCACTCCAGAAGGACGTCCTGGGTTATATAAGAAAACAGCTGTAGAGACTGTGGAGAACAAGCCAGTGTGTTCCTCTGTGGTTCTGCTTCAGCTCCTTCTTCCCTCCGAGATGGGCTGTGATTGGGGTGTACAAGCCAAATAAACCCTTGCCTTCACTGAGTCATGTTTGGGTGTCATGTTTTTCCAGCAAAGTGAAATAGGACACACTTTTTACTTGTGTATGTATTTACTTTGAGACAGAGTCTCTGTATGTCGCCCTTAATGTCCTTGAACTCACCTTCTAGACTAGATTGGTCTTGAACTCACAGAGATCTGCCTACCTCTGCCTCCTGAGTGCTGGGATAAAAGGCATGCACCACCATTGCCCAGCCAGGACACAATTTTTAATCACTTCTAAGAAGCCAGGGCAATTTAGAACCTTACCAGTGTGATCAGTATTACCAATATTTTGTATTACTACCCCTGATATTTTATCTTTTTTCTCCACTGATACCACTTATCAACATTAAAAAAACAAACAAACAAAAAACAAAACCTTGAAAACTAAAACAAAAAGAGCCATCTTTAGGGTTACAACTCACACCACTTTCATTAGTGGAAATTAACTTTTCGTTCAACACACAAATACAGAGTTGTATACACTTAGAAAGCTAGGGTCCTTTATATACCGATTCTTTTCACACAACATCCCAAGTATTTTCTGTAATCATATTAGTGTTTAGAAATTTATTATTTCTTCATGCTGATTAGGCTATGTTTTTGTTGAACATGTGAGTTGTTACACTTTTTTGTATTTTTCCCCTTCGTTTGAACTTTATTAATATGATAAACGTTTATGTCCAGTGACATGCCTCACTTGTTTGCACCAGCCTGGAAATCCAAGTCAGATCCATGGAACCATGTAAAGAGAAAGAGAAAACCAGCTGTGCAGAGTTGTCCTCTGCTCTCCACATATACCATGGCGCATGCCCAGATGCATGTCATGTGTGCTCCCTCTCTGAAATAAAGATAAACATTTATAAGGTGAAGTACTCAACCAGAGAGTATGAACTGTCTCTCCCTACTATATGTTGCTATATTTCCAGAAAATTGCACCAGTTTAGGACTGGGCAGGTTTTCATATTGTATTAAAGAGAGTAACAGGATTGTTGTAAAGGTGTCAAGGTCTCCTGGTTTACAGTGAGAAAACTGGAGCACTACCTGTGTGTCTGGGAGATGAGAAGAGGGCATCAGAGCTCCAGGAACCAGAATTACAAATAGATGGGAGACACCACTCGGGTTCTGTGCAAGAGCAGCAAGTGCTTTTAGTGTCTGAGACATCTCTTCAGCCCATTTCATTTCTTTGAGACAGGGACTAAGTATGCTGTGCTCTGACTGGCCTGGAATTTGCAGTGTAAACCAGACTGCTCTCCAACTGTAGTAACTACTAATATGTAGTAACTACTAATCTCTATCTCTAGTTGTGGCTGCTCTGGACACTCCAGCCATGGTTTCTTAGATGTAACCACTTGTCATTGTCTGCTTTCATTGCAGACATATCACAGCCTGTTTGTGTATTTCACTCCTTGTATTGCTGAGTAGCTCTTTGGCTGTCTGGCTGCTGCTGTTTTGGCTGTTATGAATAATGATGATATGAGTGCTTGTGTACGAGTGTTGATGTGAATGTATGTTTTCATTTCTCTTCAGTAGTAGAAATACTAGGTAATATGGCAATTCTTTGATTTAACATTTTAAAAATTGCCACTTTTCCAAGGCATCTGTACCACTTTATATTCTCACCAGCACTGTATGAATTACTTTACATTCTCACCAACCGCTCACTTTTTAGGGTCTTCTTCATTTTTACTAGCATTATTAATTACATATCAGACTTCTACTATGTGATTTCCATACCTGTAAATCAGTATTTTCCCTTTAGTCACATATAAGTACATTACTCTCTTACTCCCCCTCCTTTTGCCTCCATTCTTCTTCCCAAATAGTCCTTTCTGCTTCTGTGTTTTTCTTCTTTATGTTGTTATGGCTCATTCTAGACTTGGCATGTAAAAGGAAATGTGATTTTTGACTTTCTCAGTTAGGTTAATTATGCTTAATATGATGAATTCCACCTTTACCTAGTTTCCTGAAAATACTATAGTTTCATTTCCTTTATGGCAAAACTGTGTGTGTGGTGGGGGGGTGGTTTATTAAGGAACCTCTAAGAAAATGTGTTATCTGCCTATTGCCACACACTGGTGTGGAGGTATCTCTGTTGTGTGCTAACTTAGATTCCTTTGAGTCTGTAACTAGAAATGGGACAATGGGATCACACTGCAATTATATTTTTCAATTTTTAAGAACCTGCATCCTGATTTCCATGGTGTTTAGACTAATTTACATTCCCACCAGCTGGGTGCACATAATGTTTCCCTTCTCCCTCCTGTATCCTTACCAGCATTGTGCTTTTGTGTGCTGTTTTTTGTTGATGGTGGCCACTCTGGATTGAGATGGAATCACAGCATCATTTCCATTACCTGTCATCGTCATCTTTCTGTTATCCTGTGGGTATAAAGTGGTTCCCCATTATGGCTCTGGTTTGCATTTCCTTAGTGACTTACTGTGTCCAGCATCACTTCATGTGTTATTTTATTATCCGTGCAGATTTTTGTGGTGCCCCCACCCCCAGTCCTGGGGGTCAAGTCCAAGGCCCTGAGCATGTCATACTTACTCTGAGTTCCTCTCCCGTTTCTGTCTTTCTAGTGTTGAATGTAACGAGCTCTTTATGTACTGTGAAGATGTCTTTACTAGATACATGCTTGCAAACATTTTTTCTTTCTTCCAGTCTCTAGGTTTGTCTTTTCACTTTCTGTATATTTGTAATTGTATATATCCTGGTGGACTGACATTTGTAAAATACCCCTCTATACCAATGGTTCTCATCTTGTGGCTTGAAACCCCTCTGCCAAACCTCTCTCTCCAAAAATGTTCACATTATGATTCATAACAACGGCATAATTACAGTTATGGAGTAGCAACAAAAATAATTTTGTGGTTGGGGTCAACCATAACATGAGGAACTGTATTAAAGGGTTATAGCATTAGGAAGGTTGAGAACCATTGTCTATACTTTCGTAACAATTTTTGTGTTAATACCTTACTGAGTCTGATGTTAGTGTGCCCATTTGTAGTCTTTATTTGCTGTCAATTTTCAAGAATTTGTTAAATATATATATCAAACTCAAGCTACAGTGACAGATTTTAACATGAGTCTAAGGAATCCCAAAATTCTTTTTTTAGCATTTATTTTTTAATCGTGTATATATGGGTATGTACACATACAAGTGCATAGTTTCATAGCTCTCTTACTTGGAGGCATTGAAATAAATAAGTGTTTGTTAAATGGCTCATAATACCCTTTGATATAAACATTTTGAGAAGTATCTCAGCCAAAATTGAGGGAACACAGCCAACAGCAGAGGTTTTGGATGATAGGGTTATTCAAAGGTTGTCATGCCATCTGACTGTCAATCAGTAGGTTATTCTTAAACACAATGGTGATCTAGATGTTTATGTTGCCAGCTG